TCATGAAAACTTCACTTGTTCCCACCCATTATTCGAACTAATTGATTTATTTGTATTCTAACTACTTGTAGCTAATGCCAAAATTCACACACATACATACACACACACACATACATACACACACACACACGCACATACACACATTCTCACATCAGGGCCTTTGTGGGGCACCTGATTGTGGGGTATTTCTGTGCGTTCCAGATATACCTTGTGGTCCCCTACTAGTGGGGTATGTACAACCTGGCGATAACAACCCGGCGGTGTGCTTACGATGTTACCATAAAAAAGTGTGCAAGTTTTAGCACACGCTCACAAAAAGTCATTTATGGGGTACCACTTCTAATGCCCCGCAGGGCATAGGACACCGAATATACAGTCATTTGAAAGACTTTACTCTGTGGGGTCCTGAAAAAATACCCCACAAAGTAAAAATGCCTCACAGGGGGTATGTGAAGCGCACATAAAACCCCACAAGAATGCTGAGGCGCGCGCACACACACACACACACACACGCACACGCATACTCACACAAACATTCACACACACATACACACACGCACTTGTAAATACTGGCTCAACTAACCACACACACACATCGGCTCATCGTGGTGAAAAGTGAAAGTCTTACTAGACACAAATCAAATAATAAGGTTAAAATGATATACAATGATACTCCTTTCAACTGTATCATGATAGTCAGTTAATTCTATAAGGTGTAGAAAATATGAGGACATGTCCACTTTTCAACAGCAAAATCAAATTTTGTTGATTTACACAAGCTTTTAGTCTGCATCCCTGTGTCAAATTTAGCACATGTGTTCCCTATACCATAATATAACACCAGATAGCAGCATTTAATTTGTTTAATGGTCATGGTTTATTTTAGAGGGGGTGGCTCAACTAACCTGAGTCTCCACCAAAGTCATCCCAATTTGATTTTCTATTCACATTTGTTATGTTTACAATGACATTATGATTGTTAAATGTTATGTTTATTTCCATCGGTACTCGTTTGGTACACATTCGGAAGGGTCTTTCTTAAACCACTACATTAACTGAATTGTTTGATTATGCTTATATCTGACATGTAATAAGTACAGGTTTGTTTTTCTTCCTTTTTATCTTTATATCCTTAATTTCATTTTGTTTTCTGTCTTCCTGTTGTACCACTTAATTTATATTTAATTATTTTATGTAGTTTGGGGACAAGCCTTTAATAGGCCTTTGGCCTTTGTCCCCCCATATTTTTGATATTTATGTTCTGTTGTTATTTGTTTGAATTGACTTTGTATTGTAAATGTTTGTTATTGTGATTTTTAAAATAAATAAAATAAATTGAAAATTTCATATGGGACCTGTTTGTATAAAGATGAAGAATATAAAGAATGAGCATGGTAGGAATACATGTCTAGTATTTAAGTGGGATTTCATACTGGCCAAGTTGTAAAGGTAGCTGGTTCCAAACAATTTTGAGCTGTGAGCCATAATGTTTGCCCTACCTAGCACCTGTTAATGTATGCACAAGTTTAAATGAGTTCTAATCAAGGCGAGACGATGTGGATGAAAGTGGTTTGATAGAGTGTGAAAGAAAACATTTACAATAAACGTAATGAAAATGTAAATTTTGAATAGCGCTATTAATTTAAATGTGGACATTTTTAGAGAGGGGATCATAATTAAGGCTTGTTCACGTACGGAGAGGTAAACCGCTGCGGATTTTTTATAAAACGTGTAAATAGGGACTTTTAGATTAGGGACTTTTAGAATGAGTGGACGAGAACACGACGAACGCCGACTGATCATGCGTGTCAACGTACTTATTAACTGCCCATGTTGACTACAATTAGAAATCTTTTAGATTGCACTCGACGATATACTTGCAATGCATGCAGGAAGTAACATTATGAACATCACGGACAAAGAAAGAGGACAAAATATACAGTTCCTCATTTTACCCTCAACAAAAGAACATCCCTTCACTGCTATTATGTAAAAATGTGTAGAACAGGTGAATATGCATGTGACACCTGTTCTACACATTTTTACATGATAGCAGGGAAGGGATGTTTCGGCTTTGTCTACCTGAGGAACTGTATATTTTATGCGCACGCGGCATACTAGTACTTCAGCATGTAAAGGGGCTATATAAATATCAATATGTATGTATGTATGTACTAGATTTAGGAAAATCAAGGTTGACGCATTCTCGATCGCCGACTGAGACGTCGTAACGCATGCGCAGTGCCTTAAAATGACGTCACACGTTGCAGTCAAAGCTGACAACGTGCAAATCTAAAAGTCCCTATTGAGTGGACGAGAACGGCGTGAACGTCCGCTGATCATGCGTGTATATGGCAAGCCGCTTTAACATTTATTCCTATTTCTTGATATCAAGAATTACCATTGCTTTACAACAGACAGTCATTTCTTCATATCAAGAATTGAATTCTTGATATCAAGAAAAAGAAATAAATGTTAAAACGGCTTGCCATGGACGCGCATGATCAGAGGACGTTCACGCCGTTCTCGTCCACTCAATCTAAAAGTCGCTATTAAGTGGCAACAAAGGTCCTACACGTATTCACTGAGCTCTAAGAAACAGCAATTTAAAGCGAATTACACTTCTTTTTAATTTTTAAAGAACAACTACAACACCCGCCGCAGTTTACCACGACTTGTGTGAATGAGGGGTCTTTATGGGTAGCATTATGGGATCTTGTTAACAGCTTCAAGAAGGTTCTTTTCTTCACAACCAACTTACGATAGAATTTATTTTAAAATAAAATCTTAATCTGTATACACATCCAGTCTACACAAGACTCGTACAAAACTGTAGCTTTATTAACAATTGTAATAATTTATTAATAATTCAATGCATACATAATCATGTTTAAATACTTCATACAAATACAAATCTCAAACACTCGTGTATTGCTCGGCAATGTATATCAATAACAGGCAATAGACAGGGTTGCTAACATATTCAGATTTTACGCATAATTGTTAAGCTTGCCCGAGGCTTGTCAACATAGCAACAAGTAATGTATGCAGACTGGAACTCGTGTACTGTAGTTCATTCATTAATAACAGATTAATGGAACAACTGGTCACTAAGTACCCAGGAAAGAAACATCCATAAATTTGAGTGCATTAGTAATCCGGTCTATTGTCGTCTTTTGTATGAATCAACTACATGTACATACATAAGAAATGTGTGACGGTATTGAATAATTGTACAGTGTAGTAAAACATAAGTCCACTTCACACGAGGCGTTATTATAGTTGGGATAGTCAAGGACAATCCGGGCATGTAGATGCAGATAACCGGTCCTGGCGCAAACTCTAGCCACATACGGAGACGCTGGCTTAGCGCTCAGTTGTGCATTAATTATTGGTCTAAAAGCAACTTTTGACGGAAAAACTGATCTCGCACTCTCCACAATGTACATAGAACATGTACGTGTCAAGTAAGTGCTCGTTCAAATATGCAGCGGTAAGCTGCGTCATTTTTTAAACAATTTAATATCATGTAGATGAATGGCAGTTGAGCGATAAAAAGGTTATATGCGTATTAACTGAGCTCTGTGTTAAACGATAACAGAAAATATGTGAAGTATATTACATCTACGTCAACGTCAAACAAACCGCCGCGGTTGACCGCATTATATCTAAACGATGCTCCAGGCGCGGTCATTGCTTATTGTCTCATGAATTCTATACATTACACAATGCGGTTGGCGTCATTTGCGGTGGAGAAATTTCACCTCGTGTGCAGGGACATTATTCATGCTACACAGTACAACTCCTTCACTATACCAAAACATGATTGACTGATGATAGATCTTGGATAGATCTTCCTGAAAGCCTTTAAATCGAAAGCCATGGTAACGCTTCTTTTTTGCTTTTGTATTCTAAAAAAAAATGTTGACGTTAATTACAGTAAAGTGAAAACGTTTATACTGTTCACATCCATTGTAATTTCAATAGAACGACTTGTCCCATTAATATGATGTATGAAATAAAAAATTCACTTTATGTATATATATTTTTTTAACAGTCTAGCTAATTGCTTTCATGAGTGGATTGTCATTTATCATGTTTTTGATTTTTGTTTATGTTTATATACTGAGATATTTCAATAAAATAATAGAAATTTATCACAACGCTTCAGTACAGATATAATTAGAAAATACTAACATAATCACTGACCATGTTAAACTCGTTTCAATTTGACTCCAGATCTCACCATGTTCATGTTATGATATGAATATATAACCACGAATTCATTACGAAAACATTATTTTTCTGATTAGTATATCAACGTACATAAACGTAGAGAACTCGTGCTAGTTAGTAGTAAGGAAGATGATACAAAACCTTTCATGAAAACATTCATAATCTTTGTATTTCCTTTAGACTAAGAATTTCAGTTCCAGCATGAACACTTTTCTGAGCCCTGTTTCATAAAACTTGATATCAATAACACGTTACAAGCTACTGTTAAAAGCTACTGAAATCATGGCATCTGATTGGCTGAGAGCAAATGTGTCATAGAAATCTAGCATTTGTTATAGATAACAAGTTTTATGAAACGGGCCCCTGATCCTGAATAGTGCATTTATCTATAAAGACCACGTGTTTACAGAGAAGCAAGAAAATCAATCGCACAACACTCACCTGCTGACTTTAATTTCTAATTAAGTACATTTTTGTGAAATATTGTTAAAAAAACAAGAAATCAGCAAAATCAAAATAACACACATTTGAATGATGTAACTAAAATTACTTAAGATCAATTGACATAGACATAAAATTATGTTGGTCCTTACGAGACAACGTCAGTGAATGGCGCAGTGTGGGACGCTGTTTCCGGTCATGCGATGATTTTGGTATAACATTATATTGACAAGAAAATTGTCAAGCTAAAAGTGCCGAACACATACCTATATCAGAATCAGGCGCGTACTCAGGGGGGTGGTTGTTATCTTCAGGTGGTCGTGATCTTTTACATCCCTTGTTGACCACACATTGCGAGACAAACGAATACCACTAGCGATATTATTTTCGATACATTAGTATCTTGCTTGTCAGGCAAGCCTCAGGCAAGCATTCGACTTGACAGAAACAACTTACTGATATCAAAGATATGTAATCAATTGAATAGATTGAATACGCCGATTATTAAAGTGGTCCAATAAACATCATAGTATTTTTTTTCCTCTGCATTGAATCTCTCATACATTATCAGAATCAACCCCAAAATGATAATTCGGCTTTTTTCACATTCTCCGCAATTTACACATATTACAGTGTATAAAATCAAAAGATGACTCAGTAAATGTGCATACAAAACATTTGCAAATCAACACATTCTTTTGGTATTTACTTTTGGTCACGATGTATTTATATTGCACACTAAAGAAAGGATTACGCTAAATTGACGGGGGTTACATTCCCCCGAAATTTATTATAATATTTATAAACATTCAGCACTTATAACGTGCCAAGAAGGCATTAACTAATATTTGATAATGACTATTCTAACGCTAATGATAACATGTGTAATTCTAAATAATACATGTACATGAATACTGGGTAGGAAATCATATAGATGGCGCCCTGTTCCATAGCAGTCGCATTAAAGTTGATCTTAGAATCATGCGTTTATTATTTGCAAGGTGGCTACACATTGGTTCAACGTAGATGGCTCTGTTCAGCGAAACTTTCAGACCCATCTTTAGACAAGAGTTTGGCCAAATTGGTTTATGTTTTGTGCCTGCCCAATAATGGGCTGTTCGCCATGTTGTGTCCACTTGGAACCGGGTTGGCCAAACTCTCCTAATCAAAGGCTTTGAAACGGGTTTAATGTCAGTGTCCCTTGCATGGTACATTCACGATGAACATAATAATAGAGTTGTTGCTTCAGTCCAAATATCTTTTTTTGTTAATTGTTCAACTATCGAAAATAAGTAATTCAAATAATAACACTGTAAAAAAGCTACAGAGAAATGATAGTAAGTGACTTGTACAATGTAACAAAAATATACAACATTATGTGATTATCATACAACTAAATATACATTGAATCATATATATTTAAACACTTAAATAAGGTTCCATCTCCTAAAATGGAAAACCAAATCTCAGGAATAATATAATAGTAATAACTACCAACAAAAGGTTAATTGATTGAATGATGTATAAGGGATTGACAGTGCACAAGTAGAAAATTGACTTGGAAGATTTTGAGCAAATTCTGCTCGGTACAAATTAATGTTCACCTTTCATTTGAATATAATCTTTTTCGGTCTTACTTATTTGCTCTTTTGATATAGTATGTCGACGATTCTTGATTCAATAACACGAGCAACTAGGCGGGAGAAAGATCCGTATTTATTATTCTAAGCCAACGACTCACTCTAAACCAGAGACCCTAAGTATAATAATTACGACAACCATTAACTTGAACTCCATTTGTTTCCAACTGCTATTACGCAGTATATCAATTCAAGCGCGATGAGCGCTTGTGTATTCTAATCAAAAGAATTCGAACGCAATTTTATAACAAAATTTAATGAACGTCCATGTCGGAAATCTATTTTTTTTAAAGGAGTCTTCTCCCGACTTTTTACCAGAAATATATCTAAATTATACTCTTGATAGTTGGCATAGTTTTGCTTCACGGAAGATTAAGATGTTTTGATGACAACCATAGTTTTGTGACCTGGTCATTCTTCAACTGTGGCCCAAGTTGCCCGCAAGGAACATCTTGACCTTCTATCCTTTATAGAGGGATAATCCAGTTAATTTCTTAATATTGATAATTTTAAAAAAAACGTTACTGATAATAATGTTCAACCTTTTAATGAAGGATTTGAGCGTTTCCGTCATATTATATTTTTGCACAGTTCACATCTTCTTTTTACTCTGACGATATTTACTTTATTGTCAAGTCTCGTTGTCTCTTCTTCAACCAACTCTCTCTCTCTCTCTCTCTTCGTCTCTCTCTTTCTCTATCTCTCTCTCTGTTTATTTCACACTACCACTCACGACATCCCTTTTCCAAATCTGTCTCTATACCCATCCTCGATGGATGCTGAAAATGGAACAGTTCATTTTCTTTTATATCGATGACGCAATTAAGACTGTGAGTCCACAAAAAGTAAGGGTGTATCAGGGAGCTCGAGCGCCCTCACTCTAAACGTCCAAAAGGGTTGGCGCCCGTGATGAAGGGCACTTCGCTCAGATTGCGGCACACCCCCTCTTCTAAAATCATTCTGCATCAGTTGTTATTTGGTCCTTTACATAATATTTAAGGTGGTCCTGGGCTAACAGCATGTGTGCCCTGCCCCTGTTATTCACCTCCATCTCTGCTGCATACACTACTCTCCTGCAGATCCACAATTGTCAACTCTGCAATCTGCTTGCGTAAAAAACATCGTCACAAGAACTACCAAAATGTCATCACAACTATACTTCAAACTCCACTTCCCCGGCTGAGTTCCTCCTGATTGCGCCAAAGTGTTGTGGCGAACGATTGTATTTCAGCGAAGAATAGTCCCGACTCCCGCCGTTTCCATGGTTATGATCGCTCGTGCCAGCACGTGACGGCACCGATGGTGTTCCGTAACGCTGGTTACTTCCGTGATGACCGGATTGTTGGTTAAGGTTCAGTGCGACTGGTATGCCGATACCGCTATCCGGTGTGGTTTGTGGATGCAAACTGGTGCGCTTCTTCTCCTCCGTCTGAGAGGTCAAATACTTCTGGGCCAACCGCTTCTCAATTTTTCTCTTGTCACGCAAGTAATATATGGCCCCGAGAATAATCAGATTAAGGAGGAGAAGAAAACCGCCAATAGCGATCACCATACTAAGTTCCACTAAGAAACCTTTCTTTTCCTGTTTATCCGTTTCCAACGCGTTTGATTCGGTTCCTGACGGAGTTATATTATCCGCGCCCGGTACTCGGTTATCAATATCTGTCTCAAACGGATCGGTCATTGGTGAAATAGCCGAGGTTACTGGCTGCATCGCCGAAGTCAAGGAGTGTGTCACTTGTCCGCCTCCAGGATTGCTGATCTGTGGTCCTGGAAGAAACGGATTGTTGTTAACTGTCGGTTCGAAAGCAAACTTTTGCTCAATTCTGGGAACAAGCTGTTCCCAAAGGCTTATCTTATGGACGCGGTAGAAATCCTTTGCTTTCGGGTTGGAGGCGAGGTAGATCATTTGTTGTCGGCCGACGGTGTAACGGGGCCAGTCTTCCATGGTCTCAAAGTTGAACTCGACGACGAAGTTTCGATGGATGTCTGTTGAGCTTTGAGGCCTCGGACTGTTTGGATTTCTGTAGATATCAAAGATCAACATGAATTGACATTAACATAACTTAATTATGAACGTCCAGATGATTTTGTAAATCTGACCTGAACTTTTCAGACTGTTTTTCTCTCAACATTACATATAAGTATTAGGTGGAAAGTTTGGTGAGAAGGATTTTTTGTTGTTGTTTGTTTGTTCGTTTAGGTAGGTCTAACATCCCCTTCCCGACGTACAATTTTGACATTTCTTACATTTCTGTGATGTACAGTGCGACTGCATCCATCTAACAAATAATAAAAATGGGCTTCCCGGGTGGGGCATCATTTGCATTGTATTATACAAAAAATATATAAAAAAAGTGTAGTTCATGCACCAGATTTTCGATGTAACTTATATATTGTGAATTTTGCAGACACACTTCGGACTTCAAAGACCTGTGTCTACGAAATGGCGACCGGTGTCCAATAGCCCTTATGTCTCTTGCACATTTGCCAGACTCAGGACTGCCGTAGCGTTAACGCTAAAAGAGCCGTAACGCCTCGTGTGCAGGAGGTATCAAAATAATAACATTTCTCAATACGCACCCGGATTTGGCAAAGTTACTCCAGTAGTTCATGGTTGCCAGAGACAGCGCAGCCTCAGCTGACGAGTATGACTCGGTAAAGATCCCGACCGACATATTGGATACAGGAGCTCCGAAAACATAAGGGACTTCTTCTAAATGCACCGCACCTACAGTTGCAAAGAACGATTGAACAAATAAAGTAAGTAGTTTCTATTAGAAGAATGTTCCAAAAAAGATTTGATTTAATCAAATTTATTGTAACTAGGTATAATAACTGCAACATAAACAAAAAATGATGACATGATGCTATCTTCAATAAAATACTCACAACGTCGTTTAAAGCATTCATATTCAAATGATCACGTGTGTTCGCAATGTTCTGGGGGTTTGTAATTGCAAAATACCCCAACACACAATTATTCCTAAGATAAGCAATACCAGAGGGCCTAACCCTGTCCCTCACTCTAACCCTAATATTTACCATGACCCTGACCCCGACCCTCATCCTGCACCCGACTCTGTCCCTGATCTTAACCCTATAACCCTAATATTCACGCTAACCCCAACCCTAACCCTTACCATCATCATAAACCCGACCCTCACCCTGACCCTAACCCTGAACCCGACTCTGACCCTGACCCTAAACCTAACCCTTATATCTACCATCACGTTAACCCCAACCCTAACCCTGACCATCATCATAAACCCGACCTTAGCCCTAACCATGACCCTGACCCTAACCCTAACTTCAACTTCAAGCCTAAACCTAACCATGACCCTGACTCCGAACCTCATCCTGAATTCGACGGTGACCCTGACCTTAACCCTAACCCTAATCATAACCTTAAACCTAATACATTGTACTAATTAAAGCGTTGTGAGGTATTCTGCAGCTTAGCTTATAATTATATTCTAACCTGCCCATCGTGGATAGATGCTTCGTCTGGGTCTGTGTGGGAACATGTAGAGCCAGGCATCAATGCCTGCCTCGTCAGCCAGCTTGAGTGAACTAATGCAGGGCGCCACCCATTGGTGATCCGTCAGTATGTCCTGGAGACTGTCCTTCAGTGTAAAAGCGTTGCCTTCGCCGCCTCCCCAGTCCATGTATTCATAGTAGATGACATCACGAATGACGCTACTGGCAAAGATGCAACCCAATTATTGCCGCACGAATACGGGGGGGGGGATGAATAGAAGATGGATAACGAAAAAGAGAAGGATAGAAAGGACATCGAAGAGGACGAGAGGTGTGAAGATGGAAAACAGCGGAAGATAGGAAAGAGATGCGGATAGTGAGACCGAAACCGGAGATGAACAAGAAAGATGGATATAGATAGGGGACAGGAAAGAAGGAAAGATCAAGTTGGCATGAGAAGGGTTAAACAAAAAAGAGATAAATATAGAGGGGATATAGACGGGAAGAAAATGAGGGTATAAAGAGAAGCGAAGCCGGAGAGAAGACGGAAAGAAATGCAGGCATCGTGAAGGTAAACATAAGAATGAGAGAAAGAGAGAGAGCGAGATAGAAATAATGAACGGTGAGTGTGTAGAGAGGGAGAGGGGTATCCCAAGAACGAGGCCCAGAGACGCATAGATAGAGAGAAGAGTAAGCATGATGAAGGGAGTGTGAGGACGAGAGACAGAGGGCCAGATAAACAGACGATCGTGTGGGAAAGATAAAGAGAAGGGGAAAGAGAGATATGCCAATAAAGAACAAGACCAAGAGAAACAAAGATGGACAGAAGAGCAGGCATGATGGAGGAAACGTGGTGGAGAATCCAAAAAGGGAGAGGAGAAGGGGAGGACAAAGTGCCATGTTAGTATACGGGAGTTGGGATGGTCGTACAAGTCATGCACCGATAGATAATTAGACAAAGTACCTCAAGATCCCGTCACCCATGCATTAGGAGTAAGTCGATTCCAAAAGTGAGGGGAACGTTAAGCCCATTGCAAACGAGGCGCCATTTCGATTACGTTTATACCTGCGCTAATTAAGCAATCGAAGTAAATTAGCCCATACGACAGCAGTAATTTAATTAATCTTTACACAGTGCATTTTGTATTCACTTTATGAACGAAACCCCGTCACATGAGCCGTCAAATGCAGGTACAGTCACTGTCGTTAGACTGCGTCAGCGACTGAAGCGGTCTTTGGCGCGTCATATGAGAATGACATCGTACTTAGAGTGAATGCAAAATTAACAATGCAAACACTGCGTTAATTTACCGGCGCATGCAGTATTTGATTTCGTTGGCTTCACTGGCGCAGGTAAACAAGTCGCTAACACAGGATTGCGTCAGCAAATGGAGTGGCCTTTGACGCACTATGTGACGATGGTAGCATACAAAAAGTGAACGCGAAATGAACGGCGCAAACACCGCTTTGAATTACTGGAGCGTGCACTTAGGCTACTGCCTCGCGAGTCCATAATTAGCGTAAATAATGACGCAATAGAAATTGACGCCTCGTGCGCGCAGCCATTATACATGTAACAGGAACCACGGGCAAACCCACATTATGACCCACTGAACAACCACCTTGGTTAAACGATGGTAGACGTAGAAAGAGACGGTCCAATCAAGTATACACAATAGTCAACCATGCCATTTACCCATGCAATTATATGTGTTATGAATGTAGGACAGACTCGAAGAGGGTTCAAGATTAGTGGTAACAGTGTACAAGAATCGTGCGATGGTCACGTGATAATGTTGTGACAAATATGGACACCTCCAACGTGAATCAACAGGGCACAGTTACAATGAATTAGATCACCGACAAAGAAAGGTGAGGAGTTGTGTTACGATACGAGTAGGTTAAAATTAACATCGAGTGAAATTATGGCGTTTTATGTCTTATGTGAAGTACGTAAGAATTTCATGAATTAGTGCACTGCAATCATTCTTACTTTAATAAATTACGGTCCCCACTTATCAAAGGAAAATGGACTTCAACAGATCTGACTTGTACAATTCACTTTGGGAAATGAACTTTTCTTATGAACTTTTAGTTTGTCTTCTTTTTCTTTATTCATGGTGATCTTGTTGTTATTCTTCTTCTTCTCCTCCTCCTTTTTCTTCTTCTTTTTTTTTTCTTCTTCTTCTCCTTCTTCATCGTCTTTTTCTTCATCATCATCATCATGAACATCATCATCTTGTTGTTGTTTTTGGTGTTGTTCTTCTTCTTTTTCTTCTTCATCTTCTTCTTCTTCGTTTATGGTCAAGGTTTGGATCGTTGTTTTTTAATTTAAAAAACATATTCTATGACAAATAGACCATACCTTGCTTTCATGTTGCCTCCAAAGTTGTTCTGCACGAACCCATCGAGAATGTCGTCAAATACTTCCAGCTCCATCCGCCCCACGACATCGGTTTCCTCCGCGATGTACGAGAATGCTTCGTTTCTTACGATCCCGCTCAGGTACGCGAAGTCATCTCGTCCGATGTCGCGCTCGCCCGCAATCAGCTGTCCCCACATGATACTGGGATCGGCGGCTATGACGTCCTCGTCAACAACTGGAGCGAAAGCGAACATGTAGAGCGGAGACTGGAAGTCGAGGTTGATCAGGTCGCTGTAGGGGAGACCTCGCAGACATTCGACCATTTGGAGGTTGGTTTCCGCCTCGCAGCCGACGTTTTCAGCTAAGAGCTTCGCGAAGCGAGCTGGTTCACGAGACAGCGCCCACGGAGCATTGGCGGATCCACTCTCTGCTATCACGCCAGCAATAAGACCTATTGTAGTATCATTATGAGTATATAAGAATCAAGCAAAACTAGACAATTTTCATATATATATTTATATTCGGACCCCTCGACAGAAAAGGTTTTCTAAAATGACACTGCTGACTAGAGCTATCCCGTATGTACCATTTAGGCCTACTCATGTTGTTATTTATGTTATTTTTATATCGGTAAATAAATTCAAATCAAATCACTGAACTATAAAATTATGTGTATATATGGTACATGCATGATGCGTTACCAAGAAAGAGAGATGTAAATAGTAAGAATATTTAGGGTGGTGTGTATTTCCATCTCAAAATTAACAATGGGATCAAGATTAGGATTAAATTTGAAATTCGGGATTAGGATCAAGATAATCGAACACGTGGTGATATTGTCGGAGTTAAAATGTGCCCCAGGCCCCAGATTATACAACAATGTCTCTTGTATGCTATAAACTACACGAAGATTTCCTTTACTTTGCTTTTGAGATACTTTATTTGGTTTTATACCTCTCTTCTTTGTTTTACATGTGCATTTCATGATCTATGTAAAAAGATTAATCGAATAAGAACTAAACGAAAAAGGTTGTCCCATTATTAAAATGTATACACAAATCAAAAAAGTTGTGTGCACTTCACTGTAAAAAAAAAACACACGTTGGTTCATAACTGGCCTAACAGGAAGGTAAACTATTTATCCAAGCAACCTTTGGTGAAACCTGTGCCCAATTTGGTAATGTTTTGCCAAACAAAAATTTTACCCAATATTTTGTTTAAGTGTTCCTAGTCATACTTTGACGTCATTAACGATAAATGTCGTAAACGAAAAATTTGTAGATTTGGTAATGCTGGTCAACATGACAGATGTGACGTTCCGATGGCCACAAGGATGAGTTCGGATTGATGTCTTCGCTCGTCCCAGAAGGGATGTTTATTGAGAAATAGACTATTATTTGTCGGTTTGTATACAAGCAATTGACTTTTATAGCACCTACGTGGATCGAGGAGACCAAGGTGCTACCCCAATCCTTCCCATTATAGCTCTTAGATATACAGATGACTTTTCCTTTATGTTGACATTCTCATACATCATTTAAGAATAATGCACCCTCATTCAGGAGCAAATAATGTTACAATACCCCTCCCCCCCTTCTTTTTGGAGAAAATAAATGGGGGGGGGGGGGGGCTCTCACACCGATATACCCAAAGTCATGTATTACGTTTGGAAAATTACCTTTACCTATAACAGAAATAATTAAATATACCAAAATCTTACTTATATCACAATATGTTATCTCGTACAACATTTGGTTTATTTGATTGTTATGAGAAGAGATATAGTAGGGACAAATAAAACAAATACCAAGGTGAATATTACAAAATAATGAAAAGCCTAAAATCTGGGAAATGAAAAGAAAAAAAATTGTTATCGTTAACTGAGGGGAGCAAAATAAAACCAGTGTTGATTTTTGACATTTCAATGTTGTAAATTTGTGTTAAATGAAATTACAATTAGTAACCCTTTCTAACAAAAATCACTTTTACATTACGTGGAATCGCATCGACATATTCCACGAAAGGCCCTCTACCACGAACTAGTACCTTTTGTGTGATTCGAAAACATGAGTAGTCCGCTGCAAGCCGCACCGCTTCCGACACCAAATAGGGTAATTTGGTCGGGGTCCCCGCCAAACACGCCAATATTCTGATGAATCCACTTAATGGCCGCTATCTGATCCATGAGGCCATAGTTCCCCCTCGCTGCTGAATCGGCTGTGCTCAGAAAACCTGGAAAATATGGATTAAAGAGGTGCTAGAGGAAGTATTCCATTTTTGCAAATGCTGTATTAGCTTTACTATTCTGGACCCTGTCTCATAAAAACCGCGAACAACTAATCCCCTCTCCCACTGAGAAGGGGCGACTTAGTAACAGTAAAAATGACACTTTTCACCAAAATAGGGGCACTTTCGTCTCTGAAAAAATAGGGGAGCGTGCCCCCCCCCCCCCAATCACATCTGGCTCGGCTGCACTTCCCTTTTTTTTTAACTTGCAAACAAAATGAGCATTCCCCCCCCCCCCCTCACACACACCCTTAAATAGTGAAAAGCAAATACGATTACGAAGACTTTCGAGAAATCGTACTAGGGCAGCCTCATCGGTTTGTCCGTCACCTAGTGTAATGTGGGAGTATTACAATGACATATCGAGCATGGCTTCTTAATAGGCAATACGATAAGGTATTCAAATTGCACTTGATTTCTCGAAAGTCTTAGAACTAGAATAGAAACCAATTGGTACAAAAAGGGGGTGGTGCCCTCTTTCATCCACCACCCCTGGTTTGGCTTGACATTCCTATTTTAACGACTCATCAGACAAGACATACCGGAGAAATCATGTCTTTCCATGGACTGAGAGACTCCAGTGATGCTCGGAAACTAAACATTCTAAACATATATACATCCCCGATGATATGCCCTGGTGCCACGCTTCGGTGCCAAAGTTTATCTTACCTAAAATTCCCAGGCGGTAATTTACTGTTATCACGATGACTCCGCCGTAGCTTGCCAGGATGCTGCCGTCATACATATTAGCCGATCCTTCATCATACGTATCACCGTGAATATGAACCATTACTGCCAAAGGGTCCATGCTCTGGGTTTCATCTAAAAGAATGACAAGAAGGAGGAAGAGAAGGAGGAGGAGGAGAAGGAGGATGAGGAGAGGGAGGAGGAGGAGAGGGAGGAGGAGGAGGAGGAGGAGAAGGAGGAGGAGGAGGAGAAGAAGAGGGAGGAGAAAAAAAAGAAGGAGGAGGAGGAGAAGGAGAAGGAGGAGAAGAGGGAGGAGGAAGAGGAGGAGAAGAAGAATAAGAAGAAGAAGAAGGAGGAGGAGGAGGAGGAGAAGGAAAAGGAGGAGGAAAATAACAGGGAGAAAAAGGGAAAAGAGAGTGAGGAAAAGAAAAAGAGAGAGAGAGAGAGAGAGAGGGGAAGCAAAAAAAAACGAAAAGTTAGACGAGAGCACTTGGATGACATTTCAATATCTGAGCAATGAATTTCATGCGCTTGCACGTAATTGACCTCCATCTAGGTATATACAGAACTCATCGAATGTCAGGAGGTACAGGATTCCATTTCGAAACGAGCTTCCTCCTCGATTGTTTATGTGCGGATAATATGCATATAACATACATAATATAAACGGATTTAGGATATACAAAATGGAAAAGGTGCTCAAATGTAAAATGAAACAAAAGTCGAGGCTCTTCCAGATATCTCCAGACGAATGACGAATGAGATAGTGTGTCTGACGATACGTTTGCAAAACATTTTAGAAAAATACCATGGTAGTGCATAAGCGTGGTGTTTTATAGAAAATGCTTGATTAGCAATCACCTATTTCTTTGCATTAAAATACATAACGGCGTGTTATTGTTATCCATTATTAGGGTTCAACCTTTCCCCCTCAATGCTACCCGCTTTAATATTGTATGTAAATTAAGGAATTTGGTTGAATGCGTTGGGTAGTTAGGCTCCACTGCACTCTACATAGCTCCAACAGGTGATGTATATCTGTATTGAGTGGTTTGCCTTACCTAGCAGTTTAGTGTAACTGTCTGCATATAAGTCATACAGGCAGGAACTATGGGTTGCAGGTGAATGAAAGTTGAAGTTTCAAAAACATGGCATTTTGCGCTGCAAGTCTAAGTTCCATGGAGTATCAAGATCACCAGAACCGACATTGAGGCCTGCCCCGATTCCCTGCATTTAGTCAACCAACTCAAACTGTAAGTTGAATCCATAGTTGTATTCATTTTCCTAATGATAAATTACACGTGTTTTTTTGTCATTGAGAGAGTCAAGGTCACAAGCAAACCTTTGAATTAGAGATAAAGAATGCAGACTGCAATTCATATCATAGTTCATAGTCACCCGAGTTTACCCAGTTGTGACATCCATGAACCTTCATACAATTATGACATGTATTTTAAGGCTTTGAAAATCAACCGTTGATCCAAATCAATGTTGGAAAGTAATTTTCATTCTGTGTGGTATTTCCGAGTGTCTAAATGTGAAGACGTCCCAGATTGCTCATTGTAATGTAAACATGGTACGGAAGAAGTTGAGTCTTAATGTCGTCCTCATAATCGTGATGTTATTTTTCGTGCTGGTTGCCGGTTTAAAGAGTGATCAAATGCATATCACCAACGAATAATGTTTCTTATATCACGTCTACTAAAAAAACATTCAACAGTTTAGATGTCACTTCGCTCTTCATAAAATCTCAAGTTCCTTCCTGCTTCCTGGCTGTTTTTGTTTTTGTTTTTTATTATAGAACGAAATTGCTTTTTCAGTATCTCAGCTTTCTTGGTGCGACATGTTATACTTTGGGTGCAGTGCTGTAGGTGAGGGTTTACACCTTTCTTAAAGTGCGGATTCATTGAAAATCACAAATATGGCAAATAGCGTATTACTAGAAACTGGTAAGCTAACAGATGGCCATCGTGCAAGTTTTAGTTCAACTACATATCGGGTGATTTATAAAAATACAAATAAAACAACCTCTATAGCATCTGGGATATGCGAGAGATTCGCCGGAAAAATAACGATGTTTTAATGCCGTCACAATATGAACCAACCCTGCCCAAGCAGACGACACCCCATAAAGAATGAACATAATTGCAATGCTTTTATTTCTCAAATTATAATGGCCCGAATTCACAAAGCAAGGTTTGAGCTCAGACCAAGGTTTGGGCTCAAACCTCCTTTTGTTTCGCCAAACCTCCCTTTGTTATTTACAAACCAGGTTTGTAAATAACAAAAGGAGGTTTGGCGAAACAAAAGGAGGTTTGAGGTCAAACCTTGGTCTGAGCTCAAACCTTGCTTTGTGAATTCGGGCCAATGAGTTTAGTGTATATAAATGTGATGGAATTTTACATCATTCAAAAAGGGATATGACCCCCATTCTGAAAACTAAATTCTTTTGTTTGTAAATACACAGGATAGGGGGTAATGAACAATCAAAGAAACCACACTTTCAAATTAAAAAACCTCCGGAATGATAGCATGGACGTCATTTGTTCCCTCTTGAAACGCCGAACATGCCGCGGTGTATGCAGCTGAAAATACAATGGCGTCCTATTTTGTTTACAAGCGACAGATTCCTTCTCCTTCTTTTTTCCTTGCATTTTTCACCCAAATAATACCATGCACGGGGTTTAGAGTGAGGCAATAGATTAAACATTTCGCCTGAGGGTATTGAAGTAAGAGAAATAACTGAAGAAAAGATGACAAAACAGGCAGTGAAATTGTGTGAGATGTCATGGGACATCGTCTGCTTGTGCACATCATGTTCAACATGTGACGTCATATCTCAGCAGCGACCGGAGAGCTTTTCAGGTGCTATGTCGGGGCTGTATCTAAGCGTTTTGTAATTGTTAATAATCATTACTTTGAATGTTGTCTAAGCATTGGCTTTTGATAACTTTGGCCAATCAAAGTGTCACCTTTGCAATAATGACATTAAAGTTAGTTTTTTAAATCAATGAATCTTCTCTTTAATGTTAAATAGTGTGTAAAAGCTGGTGACAAATAAACATGGTAGTAAAGGCTCATGTTTTTGTTTTAAACAGGTAGGGGGTAAAGGCAACAAAACCAGTTTCACTGCCTTCCGACTATATTCCCGAGCTCAAGGAATCCCGTGCGTGCCTATCGATGCCTGTTAACATGAGACTTATGTTAGGGTCTTTTAGATTCTGCACGACGAGAACGTGGACTGCCCTTTTAAGGCAATGTGACGTCACTGGCAGTGCCTTAAAAGGACGTCACAATGCCTTAAAAGGGCAGTCCACGTTCTCGTCGTGCAGAATCTAAAAGTCCCTATTACATCATATTCCTGAACAACCGTTACTCCATTTCTTGTACATACGCACACGAAACTGATCTTTGAATGGGAGATTGGCGGTAATGTGCACATACCTTTGGACTACATAAGGTATAGTGTCCCTCTATAAAGGGACACTTTAAGGAATACGTTACACCGCCCTCAGGCGTTCATCGGAAATCCGGAATGTGTCGAATATAAGGAAATATTAGGATACAATCTTTTCAGGACTCTCATGTCAAGATATAGTCATTACATCCCCATTAAACTTCCTTTCTCTCTTTTCTCTTTCACAAAATCCTTTCTTTTCTTTTTTTGGTTAGCGACAGCAGTTGAAACAATGTCCCACTTTGTATCTAAGGATAGAGAGGGAAAGAGAGTGGGAGAGGGAGAGAGAGAGAGAGAGAGAGGGGAGACAGAAAACTTGTCCCCAAACCTTTAAGCGATCGAACATATTTTGATAACTGCAGTGAGCTTATGAACTACTTGTATCAAATTTGTCTTCTTTCATTTTTTTATTTTACGGCCCTTAATGTCTGTTGTTGGTTTTATTATCAAAACACAAGAACAATCCCCTTGAACACGTTGATGTGCATCGATACTCAATCTTCACTTTAACATTTAAATGATAATTTAAGTAACTTAGCCAACTTAAAATTATTAACTGAATGCGTAATATACGTTGGTGCTTTGGCATTTAATATTATCAAACCACGCATGATTGTGTACGAGGACATATCATGAGCAAAAAAAAGACTCTTTGAAAACACGAACAATGTGCATTTCTACACGTAGTGTTAAAGTGGACAAAGTAGATTTGGCATGCTTCAAAACAATCTGACTATTTGATGACGAATCATTCCTCAAACTGCAAATCTTCTCGCGCAAACCACAAATACTGTAAGACAACCAAATACTAGGAAAGTCGCTCGTTAAAAATCCTTCTTGTCGTCGTATTGATACAGGATTATCGAAAATTGCATTGCTTTATGATTTCTGTGATAGAAATGGCATTTTAGTGGGAGAAAGGGATGAAGTCCTCCAGAAGAATGTGACATATTCACTCATCGGTCCCGAGATGGCCGGATTTAAAGAGGAAAAATGACATCATTGTATGGTTGTTTTGTCCTTTAAAAGAAAGACGGGTAAAATTCTGTTGAGTATTTATTCAAACAGATTGTCGTATGAATACAATGGCAATGTTTAAGAATAAACTATTCTTTACTCACTCCCATCACTTTTTTCTCGAAATTTCGGATAGAAATATGATATTACATTCGTGATATAATAGGACATTTTCGTAATGTAACCAAATTTAATGCATACGTCTTTGTGAAGTACCTCAATACAAATTATTTCATTCACCTGATAAGAATAATAGTATTTCAATGGACAGAATTCGAACTGCATACATTAGTTGTTGCCAGTAAGGACAAACATTATGGCTTGACCTACCTAGCAACACTTAATATATGCAGTTTGCATTCTGACTATTGAAATACTATTATTCTTATCAGGTGAATGAAATAATTTGTATTGAGGCACTTCACAAAGACGTATGCATTAAATTTGGTGACATTACGAAAATGGCCTATTAGCGTACTTAACTTGTTTGATATTATGATATGTATACAAATGATAAATACAATTTTTAAAAAAAATCAAAACTAATAATGCACAACAGTCATAAAGTATGCATGGGAAGTACTAAAGAGATACAAAACAGTTACAATAAGGGATACATAAGGGTTAAATAAGACATACATAAGGGAAACATAAGAG